GGCCAGCAATATTTCCTTCTGTTATACATAAAGCAGTCATGAATCAGAGCTGACTCAAAGACAACTATCAACAACATATTGAATGAAATTGTCCTTGTTTCTCTTGTTAACAATTAGATATTGCTGTTTGTTCTTTTAATTTCATTATTGGCGAGACAAAAGTTGGAGGAGGGATGAAGCTCAAAGCTCAAAGCTCAAAGCTCAAACCATTTCTAACCTCACAGACCTCAGGTAGGCTTGTACCTTGGCTTTGTCATTTATTCCCACTTTCTTCACCTGCAGAAAAATGGATGAGGGCCTGTTCTTTCTACTTCATTAGGTTGTTGAAAAGATAAAATTAGAAGTATAAAAACAAAACACTGGAAACCTAAAAGCACAAACAATCTTCTATTTGTTCTAAAGACATGCAAAATGTGGACTGTAACTCATATCTCAAATTACTAAATAACGAACAAACACATCTTTATTCAGAAATTTCTAAACTCTTCTACAAATTTCATTGTGCATATTTGAAAACTGTATTATAATTTTAGAACCACTTAGGTAATAAGTATAAAAATATATCCAGATAATTTTCATCCATCAAACTAAGTCAAATCACTGTTAAATATTCTGACCCCCACCCCAAACAAAAAGACACACAGTTGTGACCTATCCACAACATGCTTTAAAATACTTTCCAGATCAATGAACTGTGCAATACCTTCAAAAATGGGATGACAAAAGGTCGCAGTGGGAAGTTAGTAGCTTCTTGCAGTTTGGAATGAAATTCTTCAATTGTCAAAGTAGAGTTCTGTGGGAGATAAGATGTATTATAAATATATTTGCTTCTTATTAATACAATAAAAACACTGAACAACAAATAGTTGTATATACAGGAAGCTGTATTTTCAAAATAAAATCTTTAACTTTGTAGAAAAGATCATATAATCTATCGTATCACTTACTCTTAAAAACTGAAATTAAATACATTCAATATGGTACCTCTCAGAATAATGTGCCTAGACATAAGCATAGTTTGTCTGGAAAGCTTCTACAATTACGAAGAACATACTAATACAACTTTTGTGGGAAATGAACATACCAGGATATTGTTAAAAGCACATCAGATCATTTAAAAGGAGCAGAGACAAGTGTCAGAATCTCTCCTTTCATCCCACATATAATGCCAGTGTTTCCTGGTGACAATATTCTCCTTTTCCTTCTGTCTTTCCACAGTGCATGCTCTCTTTGCTCAGGATGAATAGCTAAGTTGATTAGCACGCTGTGCTAATGAAGCCAAAGAAGAGGTTTGTCTTCCACAAGTCTTACAACCCATTCATTATCCATTGCCTTTGAATGAATTCTGACTCACAGCAACCATATCAGACAGAGTAAGAACTGCCCCTATAGGATTTTCAAGGCTCTGGTAGCGTCGTGGTTATGCATCGGGCTGTGAACCTCACAGTCAGCAGTTCAAAACTACCAGCTGTTCCACAGGAGAAAGATGAGGCTTTCTGCTCCTGTAAAGATTTACAGCCTCCGAAACCCTGTACAGGGTCACTATTGGTCCGAACCGACTCCATGGCACATAACAACAACAACAAATCTTTACAGAAGCAGACTATCACATCTTTCTCCTGCAGAGTGGCCAATGGGTTCAAACAGCCAACTTTTTGTTAGGTAGCTGGGTACTTAACCACTATGACACTAGGGCTCTTCTGAGTCTTGTAGCAGGTAAAAAAAAAAAAAAAAATCCAATTAATAAAGATATTCCATTCATCCTAGAGGCAATGCTTGCTGCTGACCCAAAAGAGATTGTACAGATGGCTTGAAATTCACTCCTAACTCCACACATAAAACAAATAAGCCCATAATTAAGCCTAAAGCTTTTATCCTACAATAGACAATGTGTGTTGATGTAAACATCTACTTTAAAAACAGAAAACGTATTGCTATAAAGATGTTGAGTAAATTAACCTTATTCTGATTTATTTCCATGATTACTAGACAGAATCGAAACTGGAATTTTACTCTTAACTTCTGTTGCTTGCATTTAAGCATTTATCTCATTGTTATTAGTCATCCTGATGTCTGGTAAACTCGGGGTATTTATGACTTAACAATGTTACAATAACGTTCACTCACCTTCTGTGAAATTCCTTTCCCTTTTATTATAAAGTATGGAAACACAAAGTTGTAAGTTTTTCATACCAGACTCAAATCACCTTTACATGAAGCTACGAATGAACACCAGCTTCCTGTTTTATAACAATGGAGTCCCAGTGTGGTGCTATTGGATAAACAATGGACTGGTACCCACAAGGTTGGCAGTTCAAACCCACCAGCCACTCCTTGGCAACCCTACATGGGTCACTATAAATTAGAACAAAATCAATAGCACATAACAACAACAATCTATAACAATAAAGATCAGCAAACCTTTTAGGGGAGGATGAGTTCATTTTGCTTTGTTGGTTCATTTTCAAAAAGACAGTTTTTAGAACCAATTCCTTAGCTCAATATAATACTATAAAGCAACTGATTATGTTTTATCATCATCTGGGTTCAAATTATAAGCCCTCCCAGTTGTGTGACTTTGTATAATTTACTCAGCCTCTTTGAATCTCAGTTTCCCTATGTTTAAAATGCAGGAAAAATCACTACCGTACAAGGTGATTCCGAGAATTAAATGACATGTGGAAAATCTTGTAGTCATGTTCTCAAATCAAATGTCCATTCTCCATGCTTTCACTTATTGGACAGATATTCACTGGGTCTTGGTGTGGTGCTGAGGGTTAATGAGCTAGTCTGCAAAGTTGGTTTGAACTGCAAGGTTGGTGGTTCAACCTCATCAGCCGCTCCTCAGAAATCCTATACAGGGTTGTTGTGGGTCAGAACTGACTTGACGGCACTTAATAACAACAAAATATTATATGCAAGGTGCAATTAATTCCATCCCTTAACCTCTGTAAAGTTTTAGATACACAATAAATATAATAGGAAAATTTTCTTCAATCAAAGGCTTGCTAATTAGTATGTTAGAAAATCTACTTAAAGCTGCCAAATATTTCCACATTTTAAGTGATATAAGCCATTGTTAATACAGAACATATCAAAACCCATACGGTAGTTTTCACAAAACCATTTTTTTTTTACTAGCATATCCATCATTCATGTGATAAAATTTTTGCTTTGGCTTTACTTTGAATATATTTCTAAAACTCAAGAGTAAACAAGGAAAAAAATTACTGATTTGATAATTGTACCTAAAATAGACTTGAGATACTTCTATTCAAAATCACCTCAATGGCACCTATAGATTTGCTAGGTGAAGCTGATGGCTTCTGAGAGCTTTGTTTTATTGTTGGAGTGGGAGGGAGAGGGCGTTAACAGTTAAAAATTAAATTGTAAAATCTCTGTCAAATTTGAGATGTGATTTGAAGGAAGTCTACTTCACCAAAACCAAACCAAACAAAAATACCCAAACCCATTGCAGTCAAGTTGATTCCAACTTCTAGCAACCCTATTGTTGTTGTTGTTAAGTGCTGACGAGTCAGTTTCAATACATGGCAACCCTGTACTGGGTTTCCAAGGCTTTAAATCTTCTTGGGAGCAGAAAGCCTCATTTTTCTCCTGTGGGGTGACTGGTGGGCTCAGACCACAGACCTTCTGGTTGACAGTCCAGTGCTTATTGTATGAAGTCACTGCACTCCCCAGCAACCCTACAGGACAGAGTATAACTGTAATCCACAGCTGCCATCTTTACGAAGGAGTCCTGATATGGCGCTGTAGGAAAAGCACTGGACTGTTACCACAAGGTCAGTGATTCAAACCCACCAGCCGCTCCTCAAAAACCTTATACAGGGTTACTATGTATCAGACCTGACTCAATGGCACTTAATGACAACAATAATCTTTACAAAAAGAGGCTGCCATGTGTTTCTACCATGGAGTGACAAGTGGATTTGAACCACTTTTAAGCTGGTAGTAAGCACTTTAACCACAGTGATACCAGTGTTGTTGTTATTAAGTGCTATCAAGTCAGTTCTAACTCATACCGACTCTATATAGGGTTTCTGAGGAGTGGCTGGTGAATTTGAACTACTGACCTTTCAGTTAGCAGTCTAATGCTTATCCTACAGTACCACACCTGGACTCCATATGTACCGTGGTGATGATGGTTATGTGCCGTGGAGTCGGTTCCAACTCACAACAACCCTGTATAGGATTTCCAAGGATGTAAATCTTTAAGGGAGCAGAAAGCCTCATCTTTCTCCCATGGAATGGCTACTAGTTTCAAACTGCTGACCTTATGGTTAACAGCCTGCCTTGGAACCACTGTGGTATTCTACTCCCCAAAACTAGTTCTTAAATTCTAGATCTTTCAGACTGATTGATCTGACAGAAACTGGTAAAACCTCCAAGACAATGGCCCTTAGACATCCTTCAAGCCTGAAACTGAACTCAGGCCTGTGGCTCAACTTTCAAAGAATAGACAGGTCTCCAAGGTGAACAAAAACATCAGGGAGGTACATACGGCTTAGAACAATCCACCATCTGAAGTCAAAAGAGTAGCTTTTGCCCAGGATAAAGCTTAGCGTGTAGGAAGGGGTAGGAAAGAAGGACAAATGGTAAACACAGGAAGAGAGTGAGAAAAGTGTTGCTATACCGTGGGAACTACGACCAAGGTCACAAAACAAAATACGTATGAACTGCTGAATGGAAACCAATTCACTCTGGAAACTTGTAACCAATTCACAATGAAAAGTTTAAAAAATATAATAATTCTAGGTCTTTTTTTTTTTTTTTTTTGTAAAGCACAACTGGTATGGCCATGCAACAAAAATACAGTTTCTTTTTTCTTGATCTATTGCAAGAAAAAAGAAACTGCTACCAGTCATGTGAATTTCAGCTCCACCACAAGCCTTGATGAAGAAGGACTGAATATGTGACTCAGTGTACGAAAGACTAAAGTATTAAATACTACAAGATCTTCCACAAATGAGGGTGTTTCAAAGATTGCGGGAAAATGTCAGTATCTTTTCATTCCATTTTTCCATGAACTTTTGGAAGCTGTCTTATAAGTAGAAAATCACAATAATGCAAAAGCGATTTAGGGCATAAGAAAAAAAAATGACATATTCTAATTTCCAATGTGATAATGTGTAAAACAGAGTACAGGTGTTGTTGTTAAGTGTCGTTGAGTCAGTTCCAACTCATAGCGACTCTCTATAGGGTTTCTGAGGAGCAGCTGGTAGATCTGAACTGCCTTTGTGGTTCAAAGTGCAGTGCTGATCATACAGCACCAGCCACACAAGGAGTCCGTAAAGTATAAGTATAATGTCCAAAATTAACATGTCTATTCTCAAACTGATGGCGGTCTGCTCCCATAAAGATTTACAGCCTCGGAAACTCTGTACAGGGTCGCTATGGGTCGGAATCGATTTGACAGCACTTAACAACAATTTTCAAACTAGGAGCCCTGATGGTACAGTGGTTAAGCACACAGGTGTTAATCATGGGAGAAGATAGCGGCAGTCAGCTTCCACAAAGATTTACAGGTTTGGAAACCCTATGGTGCATTTCTACCCTGCGTTATATGGTGTTTAGGTGTTGGAATCCACTCAACAACAATGGATTTAATTTTTGTTTTGGTTCTCAAACTAATGATTTAAATAATTCCACCCAAAAACAACAACACATTTTTTTGTTTTGTTTTGTTTTAAAGTTATTGGCCTTAAAAATAAAAATAATGAAGTGAAAATTTTTTCACTTGGTATAAATTATTGTTGATCTAGGCCAACAGTAAAAAACCCCAAAGCAAGTAAGATAAAAAGAGCACCCAATTAGATTAAGTGAATCATTCACATAACAAAATCCACCATTTTGTCACTGCTGAGAGCTACTAGTCAGGCCCAGTGTAACACTGCCGGATAAGACACTGGACCAAAAGGTCAGTTTTGAACTATAAGGTTGGCGGTTCAAACCCAGTAGTCACTCCTCAGAGACCCAATACAAGGTCACTATGAATCGGAACCCACTTGACCACACTTAGCCAGGTAGTCAGTCACTAGTCAGGCTAGGAGATTATTTTAATTTAGTGCATATGTTTTTGTGTACAAGGAGCTCTGGTAGCATAGTGGTTACGAGTCAGGCTGCTAATCTTACTGTCAGCAGTTCAAAACTACCAGCTGTTCCATGGGAGAAAGATGAGGCTTTCTGCTCCCGTAAAGATTTACAGCCTCAGAAACCCTGTACAGGGTCGCTATGAGTTGGAACCAACTCCACGGCACATCACTGCCAGCACCACCATCACCACATTTATGCATACGATAAAGATAACTTTATAACCATGTTGTTGTGCACTATCAAGTCAGCCCCAACTCAGCGACCCTATATATGGGGTTTCCAAGGTTGTAAATCTTCAGCAGAAAACCTCGTCCTTCTCCCTCAGAGAGGAGCAGCTAGGTCTGAACTGCTGACCTTGTGGTTAGTAGTTCAGTATTTATCCTACAGAGTCACCAGTACTCCTGTGGTATAGGCATCTTTATTAAATAGTAAATGGAACCATGGTAAAGGTCAGTACATAATCCAGAATTGAAAACATATTTTCTATACAATTAATTATGCTTCAACAATCTCCAGATGTACGAGTGTTACACTAAAGGACGGAGCATGGTGGGATCCCTGCCACCTGGTTCAGTTGTGAGACTAGGGCTTGTATTTTTTACTCTTCCACATACACAGTTCCCTTTCCCTCAGAAGATAAAGCCAATAGAGTTTGCTTACCACCAGTCCTAGTACGAGGGTGCGGACTCGCTCTCCTATCTCTGGTGAAATGTCATTGCCAAACTGCTGCAGGGTAGTAAGGAAGCGTTTCAGCTTACTGAGTTGCCTGGCGCCACAGGCTGGGGGCAGCTGTTGATTTGCCAGAGAAGAGGAGGAAGAAGAAGAAGGCCCGTTGCTAAAGCCATTGGGTGGCGAAGGGGCGCCATTCAAGGCTGTAGGTGAATGGCTCGTGCCATTAGTTACTGTCAAAGGCACAAAATCAGAAAGAAAAAAAAAAATCACCTTTATGATCACAGGCACAAGAAGTGACAATCTTATTTCCTTCCACTTACATCTAGTGACTGTTTTTAAAGTTTTTAAATGCTGGGACCTGTAAAATGCTTTGATTTCTGCAGGATGACCAAAGGCTTGGGTTCTCTACAATTAAATGAGTCCTTTCCACACACCACTTAACAGTGCTCTGCACAGAAGCTGATAATAAATGGAGTCGGCTGTAATACAAGGACAGCCCTGCCTCCCATGTTCACATATGCCAACCACCTGAAATGTTTCAAACATAGAACAAACAGTGTTTGGCTGTCAGCCTTTTGTCACAGGCTTATATCAATATAACAGGACTATTCCTTTCTAAACTGCTCCCCAAGAGAAAGTGTACATTTGGTGGAGACTAAATTTATCACTGAACATTTTTAATAATGTTTTGTACACACAACTGACAGCTGTGTTTATAGAAATAGGGCTTTCAAGTTTTAACCTTCTACCACCCAATTAGAAGGCTATTTTCTCCCACATATTTCCTAACCACTTTTTTAAGGGAAATGCAAACTGTACGCAAGAAGCCAAAAAGGATAGTGTTTATCAAGGAGTTATTTCAAGAAATTGAAAGGAAACAAGCAAATCCAACCAATAGAATGGATTCAGAAAATGTATTTCTCATAAATTCATTTGAATACCAAGACAACAGTCCACATGAACCAAGCTAGAAAAAAGTTAATTTTGCCATGTTAAGATGAATTAAATGGTTAATTTGTTTATCAAATATATCATTTTTATAATAAGTTGGATAAAACTGTCTCTAGCAGTAGTTTGAGGATGCTTTAAGGACTGTACTAATCCAAAAAGTTTCATTTCAAGATAATAAAATGGTTCTCTTCCTCAAAACGTAATACCAAAGTAAGCTGCCAAGAAATTATAGCTAACTAGGACCTTTCACAAAAGACACCTGTCTACCAGTGTGGCATTAGGTGACGACAAACTGAAAACATGCTAGCAGGGTTACAATTTGGCACCATCACAGTTCCCTATGCCTTACACATTTAAAAGGGTCTTTTAAATGGAAGTGAGGCATAGCATAAGCAATCTGGGGGCTATATTTTGTCCATTCCTTATAGTCTACTTTTACTTGTTAATTCTTTTTCAGTCATATGGTTTATGGCACATGATCTGTAAACAGTGTTATCTACAACAGATACTATTTATTAGTTTCACAAATCCTTGATGACAATTTTAACCAGGACTTTGAGACTTAGTAAAACAAATTTATCTACTATCTTTACTGGAGTACAATAAAAAGAAAGACAAGTTCCTATCCTGTCAGAATGTTCTGTCTGAAACATAGAGGACAGAAAGCAATATACTTCATTGACTCAGTACATAGGGCTTGACCGTGTTGGCAATTTAAGACAAGATGTTGTTTATTTCAGAAAGTTCTCTATATTTATTTCTTAAATAATCTTTTTTAACTTCTTGTTGCTAAGTGTCATCAAGTTGGTTCTGACTCATAGCGACCCTGTGTAGAAGGAGCAGCCAGAGGGTCTGAACCACTGATTCCATGGTTAGCAGTACAGTGCTTACCCTACAGTGCCACATAAGGAATCCTTTTTAACTTAAGGATGCTAAATTTTAATATTATTTGTAACTATTTGAAATAGAGAGTAATGTGCTGTTAGAAGATCAGAAGTAACCTGGAACTTTTTATTGTTGTTATGTGTCATCAAATTGGTTCTGACTCATAGCAACTCTATATAGGGCTTCCAAAGATCAACTGATGGGTCTGAACCACTGACCTTATAATTAGCAGTCCAGTGCTATCCTACAGCACCACACCAGGGCACCAACCTGAAAGTAAGTTTACCTTATTTCCATGCTCCAAGTCAAACTGAACAAACTAAAATAAAGAGCTCTACATTACACAGGACTCCTGGTGTGGTGCTGTGGGTTAATACGCTAGACTGCAAAGTTGGCTTGAACCACAAGGTTGGCGATTCAAGCTCACCAGCTTCTCCTAGGAAACCCTATACAGGGTCACCATAGGTTAGAACCAACTCAACAGCACTTAACAACAACAACATTACATAAGTTAACTTAAGAAATTATGGAATGATTACTGGTAATGGTTGAACAATATGATAAACATATTTAATATCACCGAACTACACATATGAAGACTACTGAAATGGCAAACGTTTGTTACTTATATACTTATCACAATTTAAAAATGTATTTCAATGATGAAGAGTTATGATGTACCTATGAAACATCTCACGTCAAGGATGAACCTGGAGGACATTATTCTGAGTGACATTAGTCAATGACAAACGGACATATACTGCATGAGACCACTATTGTTAAAAACTCAAAAAAAGGTTTTCATACTAAAAGAAACACTCTTTGAGGGTTAACAGGGGTGGGGGTCAAGGGAGAATAATTCACTGGCTAGAGGATAGACACATTAGCTCTTGAGTGACAGGGAGGGTAATATACAAGAGGGGAGGGGCAGTAAAAATGTATTTAAGAAAAGAAAACATTATAGTAGCAACAATAGAAGCTATAGACCAAGAGAAATACTTTGTTAAAATCATAGCAAACTACAGTTCTGAAGTAATAATGAAAAGAAGACAAATACTGGCTCTCTTCCAAATGTTATCTACTGCTTAAGCTACAATACCTAGGAGTACAATACCTACTTAGTAGCAAATACATTAGTTTCTGCATGATACATTGATGATGACTCTCATTTTTCTTTAATTCCTATTTACAAATAATAATTCATTTCAAACCCCAAACAGGAAATCCAGAAATGACTACTTACACGTTGTGGGCGTAAATGAACTGGTTCTTGGAGCTCCTTGAGTCGTTGGGGGTGGTGGCATTGTTGGAGGAGTCAACCTAGATTGTGTCTTCACATCCACCGGTGAGTCTGGCATTGTGGAGTGCTTCTCAGTACGATCTGCGGGATGCCACCACCAACATGTTATTTCATGCCTTAAGTACCTCAGTTTTTAAAGTGCGATTTATCTTTTTTGAAAAGCAAGCCAACAGAAGAGATTCCACATCTTCTATCAATAAATATGCTTCTCTACTGAAGTTTAAATCAGGAATTTATCATCCAAACCCTACTTTAGAAGGTGTAACACAGATGGCAGGACCTCATTTGTAACTGGGTTGTATTATACTCTATTGTTATTTCTGGCTTGGCCAGATGCTACCTTGGTAGTGTTATATGCAACAGCGCAACTTCACTCCAAGCTGAAGCCAACATTAGCAAGAAGTAAAAATAGATGAGGAAGGAGGATGGTAATGAACCCCCTTCATGACAGCTCAGAAATAACAGAAGCCTGCAGCTCTGTTATGCAGGTGAGATACTGGTAGGAACCAGTCCTTTGTGACTATTTTCCCTAACACCTGCCGCCCCTCTTCCATGCTTTGTTTTCTGGACTATTTGATGAAACAGGTTATGTCTCCCAGACACATCTCTCACTTCAATTTTGTACACTGTTTTAAAAATCACCTAGACTATATAAACGCCATATGTCACACAATGCAGGTGCGCTATTATTTAAGTTAGAATGCATGAGTTTATGGTTCACGATTTTAAAAACATGAGACCAATACTTCAATCAATCATTGTAGGCAGAGTAAAAATTAAGAACCAAATTGAGAGCTAAAACAACGGGAGATTCTCCTCATATATTTCATGTAATACAAGACAGATACAGAGAAATCTACTGGTTACTGAATAATGAACAATTGCAGCCCATCACTATTATCTACTAAATACATATTTCCCCTAAATTCTGCAAATTTTTTCTCAACCTAATCTACTTATCAAAGCAACAGATAACCCAGTAAAAATGAGAGGGTTTTTTATGGTCAGTTTTTGTAGATTCAATATTCTTTCTGCAAACACATGCATGCCCCCCTAGAATGTTTTGAGGAGCCTCTTGCAGCCTTAAGCATAAATATTTCTTGCTTAGACTTTGAGAATTAAAATACCATGGACTATTAATAAGGAATGTTGCTGTTGCTGTTAAGTGCCGTTGAGACAGTTCCGACTAATAGCAATCCTGGAGAGGGTTTCCAAGGAGTGGCTGGTGAGCTTGAACCGCCAACCTTGTGGTTCAACCCAACCTCACAGTCCAGCACATTAACCCACAGCACCACAACAGGACTCCTTTTAAGAAAAAATAGGCCTCAGAAAAGATCCTAATAATCACAGTGACAAATTATCTACATTACTTCAGAGTCAATTATTAAAAGAAATGGAAAAGTCTAAATTACTACTATCACAATTCCAAATCCAGCTCACCTTTGTTCAAATCAATTTCACAGACTTGAGTTATAATAAAATATATTTGAAAGTTAAAATAATGTTGACACTATTACCATGAGACCATTTACATCATTCTATAAGAGGATATCCCACAATATTTAGTTAAGACTGTCAGTGTCTTTCTTAATTTATAATACTGGTAAATAAAACACACAAATAAAAGTATTCCAAGTGAAATGATGGCAAAGACATAGGTAGAGAGTATTTCTACCTTTATTTTATTGTGAAAGCTGTGTCTTTATATTGCTACTCCAAACCATTTAACAACCAACATCAGGAAGTCCCCTATCTAGATAATCACGCAAATTAAGTAGGCTTAAAACCGCTTCTTCAATAGTTAAATTCATTGCACATTCTACTCACCTCAACCAACCTCAGCAACAAGGGAATAAATAGCTTTCCGCTTATGTTGCAGCTGAGGGAAAAGGTACAGCAGCAAATACAAGTCTCCCTAAATAAAGGCAAATATTTCTGTCATGCCAAGGAAGGAGGGATGAAGGGAGGCTTGCCAGACTCTGCTGGGAGATAACAGTGGGAACTGCTGGTCCATCTGGTTTTCATTCTGCTAACACTCACACTGAAATATTGGAGAAGGCAGTCCAGATCCACAGATTTGAAGCACGTGGTTACACAGACAGAGAAAGGAGGCGCAGGAGGGAGAAGGGGATGGGGGAATAACTAAAAAAATTAATCCAGCAATAGAAGAGGAAAGACTGAAAAGAATAAGTCAGGGAGAAACGAGACGGCTGTTTATACGAACGGCTAAAAGCTAAACCTTACAAAAGTGGGCAGAGCACCCTAGCTTGTGTGCGTCTACATAATGAATAAGCAGTTCCCAAACTTTCAGACACATCCAAAGCCCATTTTTTTTTCTTTATTATTTTATAAATAACCTTCACTTCGAAAAAAAAGAAATACACTATGCAGTTGACAAAGTATCTTCTCTTCACATTTATTGAAGTGATCTTTATATTTTTATTTCTACTCCTACTTTAAAAACACATTTTTATATGTTCATAACTTCAGTTAGGAAAAGTTTTGAATACTTGTCTTGCTCATGTTTGCAACTTGATTCCTATCCAGAAGAACTTTAATAAAAATAATAGAGATGGATGCTTTTTTTTTTTAATTTTTAAAATTACATCAATATTTTAGGTATAATAACCATTGCATCAAAGCACAGAAAATGCCACTATTTCAAGCAGTAATTTATATATTCTAATTGGAATATAACTATGTATGTGTGTATATCTTTAAGACTTTGACATTAGCCAAATTTCTGTGATGATCAGCTTCACACTGTTCAAATGGAGTTTTAACTCAGAGGTCCTAAAACTTAGACCAAGTAGGGCCATATGTATCTCATTCTGGACTTTTCAGTGCAATCAATCCAGGATTGAAACAGACTGGTGAAATAACAGGCCATGCCTAATCCATATACACACAAGTACCCTCTACGAATCGGGCTGTGAACCATAAGGTCAGCGGTTCGAAACTACCAGCCGCTCCGCGGGAGAAAGATAAGGCTTTCTACTCCTGTAAAGATTTACACCCTCGGAAACCCTGTTACAGGGTCGCTATGGGTCGGAACCGACTCGATGGCACTTAACAACAACAACCACCCTCTGGAACAGAGAGATTTCAGATAAACGCAGAAAATGTGTTTCAAGTATGCTGAGACCTGTTGCATTTGTTTTGAATTATTAAAACACACACACACATTTTGAAATACATATTTTTGAAACTTTTATAGCACACAGCAAAGAATTATGTTTTAACCACAGAAGTATTTCATTCCATTTCAAATTAGAAGATACGATAAAACCAATATTAAGTTTATTTCTTATGTATTTTTTTAAAGTTCTTTTATATATTTCTAATTGTACTTTTTTGTATGTCATTTCAATTCTCAGATCCTGTAGGGGGATGATGTTATCTACCATTTAGAAAGTGGCACAAAATGATTCAAATGAAAAAAGAACAATATCAGACAAGGGAGAGAATGTAAGTTGAATCAAAAGGGCTGACTTAACGTCTATCTTAAATGATTCAGGCCATTTCTAAATAAGACAATGTTCCCTATGTAATAACATTTCAACTTACTTGGTAAATGTCCAACACATATGTATTAAAGATGGCTGAGGCGTGGAAGAAAATGTGGCATATATAAATACATTACTGATACCATTTCAATATCCAATTCAATGCCAAGGCCTTCTAGAAGTGGAATGTTTTCCATTTCCTTTTTTTTTTTAAGTAAAAAGAAAAAAAGTATGTCATAACCTGCCCTAACACTTATTTGCTTTCAGTTCATTCAAGTAGTTCCAGATGATTTTTTAAAGTATGAAGAACTGATGGGCAATCTATATTTTCCATGTTTAACGCAACATTCTAGAAGCAAACAGTAAAACTATGGGACACTCAGTATCAGTGAATGTATACATTTTTCTACCAAAGTTCATCATGCCATTGTAATAGAAGAAATAGCTATAGATCATGGATGATATGCATTCTGAGGAACTTCTTGGACGTTAGAGTTAGTCATATTTGAGTAAGGGTCAGTTATGGAAGCTAGAAGATAGCAACCATAAGGTTTAATTCAAAGTGACTACTCCCGTTATTCAGGTACTACTAAAGGAAAGCAGGAAAGGAGATGGGAGCTAAGGAGAAACAAAAACTGCATACAAATTTTGATTTTTATTTCACCAAAAACGATGGCAAGTAGAGTTCAGAGGTTAAAGTCACTTAGTATCTCCAATGTCTGGCCATGAAATATTACAACAGGAGACTGCTGGCCAACTAGAAAAGTTGCCATGGTTACGTCTGCATGCTATCCTATCTCCCCAATGCTACTGTGATATTTCCTTTATGGGAATTTCTGGTAATTCATTTCTGCTCAGAACCCTTTGACAATGTCTAGAGAATAATGTTAAACACTAATATCTGAAAACATCTAAAAGCAAGGTGGAAAAAGCAGAAGGACAGATGATCCAACCAGTGAGCTTTCAAGTTAGGAGAGACTTGCTTTTAAATGTTTTCTCTCCAAACACTCATAATGAATCCCTTAGGCATGCTAGTAAACCTGGGCCTCAGCCCTTCTTATTATTAAAAATGGGAATATGATCCTCTAAGGGGTCCTGATGTGGCACTATGAGATCAGACTGAAAACCACAAGGTCGGCAGTTCAAATCCACCAGCAGCTCCTCAGAAACCCTATAAAGGGTCTCTATGAGTTGGAACATAAAAAGTAACTTAAAAACAACAACAAGCCTCATAGGGACATGGGAGGATAAATGAGATGATGTTTGTAGCCTCAGCACAGTGCCTGACTCATATTAAAACTCACTGCCATCACATTGATTTCAACTCATAGCAACCCTGTGTTGCTGTTGTTGTATGCCAACGAGTCATTCCAATTCATAGTAACCCTATAAAAGGTTTCCAAGAGTGGCAACTGAGTTTGAACTGACAACCTTGTAGTTAGCACTTCAGAGCTTATTATCTGCAGTGCCATGCCAGAACTCAAAGCAACTCCATGTCGTTGTTAAGTGCCATTGAGTGGTTTCCGACTCATAGTGACCCCGTATAGGGTTTCCGAGAAGCAGTTGGTGAGCTTG